CCCCCAACCCCCGGAGGCCGCCGGTCTCAACCTCAGGGCGCCCTTGTGCAGCGCTCATTTGCATACGTTGGCATATATTTACATATATTTGAATAATCGCCCCCCGAGCCGGGGGGCTGACGGCCCGCATGCTGCCCACGCTGGTGTCCTGTGTCTGAAGGGACCGAGGCGCCCTTGCCCCGGGCCCGGGAGCCCGCTCAGGTAACCTGCGGGGCGGGCAGTGCCGGGCAGCCCCTGGGCCGGGCTGTGGGGCAGGGACCGGCTTGTGCCGCGGGGGTTTGCGGTGGGCGCGGGTGTCGCCCGGCAGACGTGCTGCCAGGGAGGCCCCGTCTGGCTCTGTGCCTGGCTCCAGGGGATGTGGTGCCACTCAGATCTTCCTGCTGGCCGCGGGTGCAGGCAGGGCACGGCAGGGCACGGCACTGCGAGCGTTGAGGACCTTTGCTTTATGGTGTGTGCTGCGCAGGGCAGGGCTGGGGGAGAAGGGCACCGCTCTGCAGGAGAGCGAGCGGGAGGGTGCGCCAGGCCCCGTGTGCCCAGCCGCCAGCCCATGCAGCTGTGTCATCGGCCCCCCGAGCTCCCCACACGTCTGGAAATTTGGCGGCAGGGGAGCGGTGGCAGCACTAATGGCTGCTCCCTTAGTGCCTTATTTCCAGACCCGTGGGGAGCCCTGTGGGGCACAGAACATGGCCAGTGCTAGATTGTGTCAGCACGCAGGGTTTGGCTGGCATCCAGCAGGATCTGGTGCGTGGGGCTGGGCCAGCATGCTGGGTTGCAGTCACTGGCCCACCCCGTGTGCCATCCCTGTGCCGGGTCTGGCCCATGAACTGACCCCATGCCACCATTCTGACCTGCAGGGCCAGAAGGTCGGTAGCCACTAGTGTATGGCAGTGGGGTCTGGTGGGCTAGACTAGAGCAGGGGTCTGGCAGCTGGGGCACCTGGGTTACACCCCAGCTCTGTGATGAGAGCAAGGCTGACGGGGCTGGTGCAAGGAAGCCTGGGTACGCACTGTGGTTCATAGAGGGAGTGGCTGGAGCAGGTGATTGTGGAATTTGCTCTCTGCCCTGCCAGATCCACCTGTGCTGGGTCCTGGCCAAAGGGTGTGGAGCCTTACCTCCTCCTCTCCATTTTAGGGCATGTAAGAGACAGTCCCGGCCTCCGGGTAGGCAGGATGGGGGATGGCTGGGGCAGCTTCACTAGCTGAGGTGCACTCCAGTGAGGGAGCTGTGGGCAGGGAGGAAAGACCTCCCAGTCCTGCTCACAGGCCCTACCAGCCCAGTCCTAGGGGCCCCCTACCCAGTCCTGCCGGCATCCCTCACCCATGACCTGCAGCCCCCTGCCCCCCAGCTTCGGGCTGTCCCACAGCACCTCTGCTTCAGTTTCGGGCTGTTCGTGTTTGATGAGCCGTACGTGCCCGTAGGGGCTGAATCATGCTCAAGCACATTGCATAGACCTGTCTTTGGCAGCTGGAATTCCTGGGTCCTAGCCCAGATCTGGGAGGGGAGTGGGGTCTGGTGGCTTGATGCAGGGGGGAGCTGGGAGCCGGGAGCCAGAGCGCCCAGATTCTGTGCCAGGTCTGGGAGGGATTGGGGTGTAGTAGTCAGTTGGGGCAGGGAGGGGCCTTGGAGCCAGGACTCCTGTGTTCTCCCCTCCCTGGTGAGAGGTGGGGGGGGAGTTGCCGCATGCTGGCTTGTGTGAGCGGCAGCTCCCACCGGCTCCTCCCCAATCAGTGGCAGTGACGCGGTGGTGACCTGCCAGCTGCTTGCTCTGCGCCCGCGCGCTGCTGCTTCCGCTGCCACTACCACCACTGGAG